CCCTTCCGCACTGGCACCCTCCCATAGCTGGCCCCCACCCCACACACTGGAAAGAATACTACATTTAAAAACAGTAGAACAAAATTTAAAGCCATAAACATTTGATATTGTTCCTAATCCTGATTTATTACTGCCACTTAATCTAACCTCAGTCTTACTTCCAGATCTGTGTACTCACCTACCTTTTTGTTTTATTTTGTTCTGCTGGTTGCTTGTGTGCACCACAAACTCAGTGATTCCTACTTGTTAGTTTACCCTGAATATATGTTAGTAACATAACCCTTCTGAAACCAGCAGAAGCTTCTGGAACCCTTTACCTTGTTTGGTATCCAAAGGTCCTTTGACTTCTTTCTGTGGATGGTTTTCCCTAAGCTTTGCCCAGGGGAGTGTAATTTGTGGTCTGAGGCTGTTGGGATAATTAAAGGGCTCCTCCTGTTTACCCTGTGGGGCTTCCCTTGGTTCGGAAGACCAGCCTCTCCTCATTCCTGTGTTCTTCATCCACCAAGTAGAAGCAGGAAAAGAGTGCCCACCAGTATCAATGTTAAAATGACATCACCATCTTTGTCCAGGAAAAGGAGTAACTTTCTCTTTCACTAAAAAAAAAAATCCAGAAGGAAGAAAACAGAAATAAGGTTTTCTCTCTGAAGATCATTTCCACTTTCTACATAAAGCAGTGTTTTTATTTTAAAGTAATGACATTTTCCTGAGGCTCTGAACTTTGCCTTTTATGAACTGCTTTGACAAGGAAGTTTCTTACAACTTCCTTTCTAAACTTGCCTCTAACTAGCTGAGGCATCTTTAAAGATATAATTTGAATAGAAAACAGTCTGTTTTCAAAAGATAGCTTGAAAGTGCTTTTACCACAGTCTGGAAGATGTTAGACTATTTGTCCCTGACTGCAAAATTCCTGTTTTAAAAAGCTGCTTACTGTCATTGGAGTGAGCCCATGAGGAAGGCGAGAAATATGTTCAGGTTGTTTTGAACACAATAAAAAATCTTATTTTTTCCAGTGATAATCTTTAATTCTTGATCAATTTCAGCTCTTACCATCATTTTGGAATATAATTTAAATGATTAATTTATAGGAACCTTTCTTGCTTTCTATTTTTATTTTCAAACAATGTTAGAACTATCCTGGCAATGTAACTATTGTCTCTCTTTTTCCAAATGCACCATTCCATGCTCTTTAAAAATGAAAATATTCTAGCGGTGAAACAAATTGGAGTTAATTAGAAAAGCATTCCTCTTTAGACTCCTCCCTTGAAATACTCTGTGCCATGCATTCATTTGTTCCTTTCTACTTCTATTCACTTTAAAATGTTATTATTTATTGTGTGTGGGGCGGTGCACATGCCATGGTGAGCCTGGAAGTGGGGGGAAACCTCTGGGTGTTTGTCCTCTCCATCTATCATGTGGGTCTGCAGGATTGAACTCAAGTCATCAGCCTTGACAGCAGCTGTCCTACCCCCTGAGACATCTTTTCAGCTCCCATTCAGTTAAAAAGCATTTTCTGAGCATTTACTGTGTGCTAGCCCATGATCCTTAGTCACTGGAGAAACCAAGAACAACAACAAAAAACCCAGGATATCCTCCTTAAGAAGCTTAAAGTCTAGGTAGGGAAACAGATATTTATTTAATCAGTTCATTTGAAAAAAAAAACAACAACAACAACAGGGGGGCTGGAGAGATGGCTGAGTGGTTAAGAGCACCAGTTGCTCTTCCAGAGGACCTGGGATTGGTTCCTAGCACACACATGGCAGCTAACAATCTCCTTAATGCTAGTTCCGGGAAATCTAATACTGACACCCTCTCTGGCCTCTGCATGCCTTGTACAACATAGATGCAATTATATACATGCAGGCAAAACACTCATACACCTAAAATAAAAATAAATAAAAAAATTTTAAATTAGGATGGCAAGATTGCTCACTTGATAAAGGTGCTGCTGCCAAGCCTGACAACCCAAGTTCAGTCCCCATAACCCACATGGTGGAAGGAAAGAAGTGACTCCCACAAGTTTTCCTCCAACCTTTACACGCATGCATGTGCACATTCAGCTATACACACATACACATACACAAACAAAATGTAATAAAAAATTGAAAATAAATAGCCACGATGATTGTACCACCCTGTGTTAACCCTAACAGGAGGTGCAGACTTCAATCATAACGTCTGTTCTTCCATTGTAACACATGTGCCATAACTGCATCTTATCAAATGCAAAATGTTAATATTAGGAAGAATTATGGGGTTAAAGATATGAAAATAATGTTCTTTCTGCTCACTTTTTCTATAAACTTAAAACTACTCTAAAAGTCTCTTAATAAAAAATAGAAGTCTAAATAAAGACGATCACTGGTGAAGGTTGCAAACAGGATGGTATTAGAACAGTGGGGTGACATCATTTGAACTTGATGGCGAGCAGAGACCTTTCAGACCTGACATTAAGTTCAGAACTGGAGAATACAAAAGAATAAGCCAGGCAGGTACAGCATTTTCAGGAAAGCAAAGCGATATCATTGCAGTTACCCTTGGAAACCTACTTCTGGCTTCTCTGTGGAGAATGGATTGTAGGGTGGGGCAAGGGTACAAACGAGGACATGTCAGTGGCAGGTGAATGGATCTCAGCCTTGGCTCTACATTCAACAAATTTCAGCCTAAGTCAGAAACCATTGGGCTCTCCATGGGCTGGGCACTGGGGGAAAAGGAGACCCTGTTAGTGGTGAACCAGAGGGTTTCCAGATGTTTCTAAAATCTTACCAGCAGCTCAGTGGGGTTCATAGAATTGAGAACAATCTCATGTTTTTGAGATGACAGCCAAATGACAATTAGAAGTTTGAAAAAACAAAAAAAAAAAAACGCCTTCAAGGACTATGCAGGCAATAGCAGATTTTCATATGTCTGTATAATACCTGATTGCAATAGTTATCTTTATTCCTATTAATAGATTGGGGGAAATATTTTGTTTCTTCTAAGACTATAGCCTGGAAAATTTTGTAAGTCAACAAAGAGCCTAAGAAGGGTCCATTTAAGCTGGACCTTGCTTTAGTGCATCAGTGTTGAGTGGTTCATGTCAGAGTTCCTAAGGGTGGTGAACTACCAAGGAAAAAAATTCCACTGGGTAAAAGGAAGCATCTACCAGGTTAGATTTCTATTGATTCTGGAATTATTAGTAGGGTGGAAACTTGAACAGTTCAAAGTACTATTTCTGTTTAAAATTAAATAGATTTGAATTACCCATTATTTGTAATTTTTCATCTGCTTATCTCTATGTGTTCCCAAGGTTCCCCAAACAGTGACTATTTCTGTGCTCCCTGTAGAGTAGGAAAAAATTGTGATGGTTGTACATATATGTAAGACTAGATAAATATGTGTACAAGTATTTAGCAAATGAATATGCACAGCGTATTCATACGAGGATACAAGATGTTTAATGTATCTATGTTCTGGTCTAGAGTTAGTTGTTCAGTTTTTCTTTTGTGTTTCTGGTTAAGAACCCCACCACCACCACCACCACGTGAGCAGATGTTTATTTTGGTAGCAGTCTGGTTGTACTTAGGGAATGATGGGCCATAATGCAGTTTTCCACTTAGATGTCTCCATTAAGAAGCGCCTCTTTGTGTAAAATACTTCATGGCAAAGTTGCTTCTATTTAAAGTCGTGAGTTTGATCTTGGCTTTGATCTAAACCTTTTGATCTTGAAAGAAGGATAGACTAGCAATAAAGAGAGGGCAAGACAGATTTTCTTTAGAGAAAGACGATAAAGTTAAAAGGATGGACAAAGTCAGCAAACACCCGCAGCAGGACCGCCTCTCCGGGCCTCGATAGTAGTCTGCTTCAGTGACTTCTGCTGTGGATGGGAAGAAGGAAAATGGGGGTAGCGTTCACCTTGATAAGCTAAGTGGAACCCTTATCGCTGTTATGAAAGCAGAATGATTCCCCCTCCCCTAGTTCGATAGAGGCGCTTTGGAAGGCCCTTGGTTTCCGGGCTGCAAGTCCGCACCCGGGCTCCCGTACCTCGGGCGGAGCGCGTCGGCCAGGTTCCCAGCGCCCCGGCCTTTCCGCGGAGGTCACCTGCCACCACTGACGTCTCTGCAGCGACGTCTAATGTATTCCCGGAGCACGGTCCACCGGGAAAGTTCCTTTCCCTTCGCGGAAGCCCCCGGGCACTGGGGTTTCTAACCCGCGGGGTGGGGACGCGGCTCCGCAAAGCCCGGGTGCGGCAGCGTGAGTCCTGCGGAGACTGGGAAGGGTCGCGGGTACCCGGGACTCGGTGGGCTGGTGAGGCCCGCGCCGGGGCGGAGTGCGTGAGGCCACGGCAGGATGCAGGCGGAGAGGCCTGGATGCTTTCCCGAGAACAATAACGCCTCGGCGCGGGCGGGAGGCGCGGCGCCTATACCTTTAAGGCAGGCCCCGCCCCGCGCCCGCCCGCTGGCCGTCGGCCCGCGCCTAGGTGTCCGCCGAGCGCCGGCCTGGGGCAGGGCTGTCTCCCGCACCGTGCGGTGCGGCCGCTGGGGCGCCGCGCGGTGAACTTGACGCCTTCCCTTTCCCCGCAGCGGCTGCGGCAGGAGGGCGAGGACGGCGCGCGGAGCGGGCTGGCGGGGCGAGTGGGCGCAGAGGTGAGTGCGGCTGCGGCGGCGGCTGCACCAGGCGGCGGGGCGAAGGTCACGGCCGCTGCTCTAGGAGAGGGGAGGACTGTGGCGGGAGGCCTTGGGACCCTCGACCTGTTTAAGAAGAGGTGTTTGAAAAGGTAGGGGTTCCAAGAGGAGAATGCGGGGGGAGGCGGGGGTGGGGGTGGAGTCTTGATGTGTTGCCTCTTCTGCCCCAGGACTTGGTCAGAGCAACTACAGTGGCATTTTGGGGAAAGTTTGCTTTAAATCACAGTAAGTCATAGCTTTACTTTATGTGGAGGATTCAGTAGGGATGCAGTCCCGGTGCTGCCCACATAACAATGTTCTCCTAAGTAAAGGTGGTGGGATGGAGACTTGTCCAGTGTTCGTTCAACAGAGCAGTGCCCCGGTGCCTTTGAGAAAGGGAAAAAGAATGTTGCGCACAGACCCCCACGGGCTTGTGTGGCTGTGCTATGGCAACAGCACACGCACCCTACAGCCAAACGCTGACCCACAGTCCTGTGAGGAAAGGAGAAGGCCAGTAGAAAGCGGGGAACTTCAAACACTAGAAGGGATTTTTCATCCTGTAAAGCAAATTTACAGGAAACTTACCGGAAAATTATTTTCCTAAATTTAGAATTTTAATACGTGACTTGGTAGAAGTTTGCTCCATTACCTCCTGTGTGTGAGCTTCAGACTTGATTTGTCATTGTCATAAATATTTTTGAAATAAGGTAAGTAGTGGTCTGTAATTTCCTAAGTGACATGTTGAAAATGTTACATAAAGCACGTTTGGGTTTTTGCTTAAATGTATTTTTGCTGTTTGGGGCTTTTGATCGCACCAAGGGATTAAAATAGCGGTGTGTTGTTTTTCTACCGCTAGGATGTATGATGAATCACTCAGTTTTGAAGCCAAATTCTTGCCGATAGCATTGCTGCCAACTTCTGTGATGTGTTGCCTTAGTATGGGCAACACAGTGTCTGAGAATGTGCACGGTGATGGGGTACCAGAACTTCACAGTGCACTTGAGGATACTTGGGAAGGCTTCTGAGAGAGATGGCAAAGGAGCTGTGAGTGTGCTTGCTCATAGCTAGACATTCAGCGTGCGTGTGTGTGTGTGTGTATGTGTGTGTATGTGTATGCCCTTCACCCTTTAAACAGCCAGTCCTACAAGTTACTTCAGTGACAGAGTAATAAGGTTATCTTTGTAAACAGATGCATTTGGGGGCCATACCTCAACATGCTATGACAGGTTATGGTTAACTTTCGTGCTCTAGGTACCTGGTTTTTAATGTTTGTGAGCTGGTAGATAATTTTATAAAGTATCTAAAGAAGGAAAAGTATGGCATGCCTAGTACCTGAAAAAATGTTTGTGGGTTTTATTTTTAAAAAATTAGATCAGCTCAATATGAAAAAAGGAGAAGCCATTATCCACGTAGAGTAGTTGGTTTTTTCACTGCCGAAATCTGAAGGAGAAGTAACTAGCTGTGACACCCACACTCTGACCACTATCTTCTGAGAATTGTGGAGGGAACTGAGGAGACAACCTTCACTGGCAGCTCTTCGTGTGATCAGTTCTGTAGAGTTCCACAGGAATGTGCTTCTCTGAGTTTTCTTCCTAGAAAGTGTGGGTAGCAGTTTTAAAAAGAGCCTGAACTGAACTAGATAGGGAGCCGCATTCAGAACTTCCTTTCAAGGCTCGAAGCTGACTGAAGGGTGGAGGTAGGGAGGCCAGAAGGCTGAAGTCTCAGAGTTGGTTGGCCGAGTGGTCATCCGTGTCCCCAGTCTCTCTGAGTTTCCTAGTTCCAGGCAGCACCAGGGAGTATTATGCCTCTGTTACACCCT